TTTGAAGTCTGGAGTGACATTTGCTTTCCTTTTAGCCAGTAATAAAATGGTATGGTCAAGTGCTGTAGCAAAGGCAGCCATGCAGTAAGACAAAAAGCAGCAAGGCAATTGCAGAGTTCAGAAGTCTCAAAAAGAAACTAGAAATAAATTGCAAAATTATCTTCCAAGACTAATGCAGCAATGCATCAAAAGAGGAATATATATACATATATGTGTGAAAGTTTCACATTATATACATTAAAAAAGGTATGCAGCCTTATAAGTAGTTTTAATGATGAAGTTAATGCCCCAAGGGGTGTGTGTGTGTGTATGTCACAGAACCAATCCAACTAAAGAAAAAGTTTCCACATGCAGTAGTAGCTAAGAATGAGTAAAGAGGGAAAAAAAGAGCCCAATTATTAGAGAAAATGAAAGGCAAAGCTTGCCTGTTCATTCTGGTTAGATCCTCAGTTACTGGATAACTCAAGATTGTACATAGACACATGGGCAACACACAAGTAGGCTAATAGGTCTGATGGATGCCTTCCAGCCTAGATCTGCTTTAAGATCTCCAGTGGCATTGCAAAGATGGGAACAAGGCCAATTTCTTGCATTACTGACAGCTCCAAACAGGCAGCAGACTTTTCAAATGTCTGTGAAATTTTACTATCAGGTAAAAGTAGGATGCTATCGATACCAGAAAGAAATGCAGGGAAGTATTTCAAAGTTGCAAGTGAAATTCATAACTTCTAGGAAAAGATTAATAGTGATCTGGTCCAAGACTATTTGAACATAGCAGGGATGTTACCATTCCAGAGAACCTGCAAATTGGAGTGATCTCACACAGTACTACAGTTTTATTTACAAGCGACTCATAAAAAGTTGCAGATTTCAGAAGCACTGTACAGATAGGAATGAGATGTATCAGGATCCTGCACGAGTAATAGGAGAATGAAGCATTAATTATTGCAAGACACGGCTGTAAAAGCAGTATAGCGACCTGCTAGACTGAGATAAGGAACTAATTAACGGTTTCTGAAATGTCAGCTCAAATTTCCCAGTGGAAACAATGAAGGGAAGCTCTACCAGATTTCTTTCCGGCATGGGTAAATGTGTCAGTGTCTTTTCTGAAGGAGACCTCAACGCAACCTTAGCAGTAACAAGAAAACATCTTGTCCAGAAATGTTAAGAAAGTACTGAATATTTTGAAGTGATTCATTAAGAACTGCTTTAGTGATTAGGCCTGTGATTTTCCAATATCCTTAAATGTTATATTTAAGGCAGTATTTGAACAGTAAGATAATCTCTGATTTCTATTAACAGAAACTGTTGCCTTAGGGGAAAGCATCTTAAATATTTTCTGCCTAGAAGAAACCAGCACTTTATTGCAATACGTGTACCACACTAACCTTTTGCCTAAAATGCTTTGCTGAAGTTAAATGAATGAAAACCAAAACACAAAAGTATTGAGTCATTCTACTTACGTCATAAACCTGGGGACTTGTCAGGCAGCGCGCTATCAGGCCACACCAGCTGGGTAGAGTTGTGGTTAATGGAGGGCCACTGTGAGTGAGAATTGGCTTTAAATAACTGTAGTAGTTAAGGAAAACACACAAGTGCTCGAAAACCACCGTTGAAAAGAAAAAGACAATTTTACATAAATGTGGTTCTGCCTTTGATCTATGTACTGTGTGATAGTTTTATATAAAACACCCATTTAAAAAAAATCTGCATTCATAAGCAAACAAATGAAAAACATCTTTCCCCCAACACTTTCCCCTTGATCCTTTCAAGGGCAGTTTCTTTACGCACGCATTTTCTGCAAGGGCAACGAGCTAACTCTCTTCTTAAAAGCTTCCAACAAATGCAACGTTTCCAGCTTTTGGGCTCTCTGGAGCCAAAAGGAGCAAGCAGAGGTACAAGTCCTTTAGTGTTAATAGGTCCAATGGTAATTCTACTCTGAAGATGGGAGCATGATGTCAGGATAGCCTCAGAAAGGCAAAGGGAAAACTGTATGGCAAGAACAACATGACACAATGTGTAAATAAAGCAATACTACCTAGATTACATTCAGGGGACATGGGGGTGGAAAAGGAAGGTATCTTTACACCTCTATCCATAGGTCTGCCCCCTAAATTAATATTTGTACACACTAGACAGATAATACACCTGAGGAAATGCTAAGATGTCAAAAAAAGGTGGCCCTGCTACAGGGCAGCACACTGAGCTTGACTGGCACAAGAACAGAGCTCTGGAAGAGAGTGCTAAGACTTCCAAACATTGTCTGAAGTCAGGACCACAGGCTTTGGGTGGGGTTTTGTTTGTTTAAGTCAATCCTTTTATTTTAAGTGTAAATATATATTGCAAGTATTTAGTTACTTTCTTAGGCCTCTAGGCACAGGCCTTTAATCAAGTCCATTTATTAATGTTTCCCTAATCTTCTCAACAGATCAAGGTGCTTAGGGAAAAAAAAAAGGGGCTGTTTTAGCAAAGATGTATCCCTCCCCTTTAGCAGGGCCTGGCACAGCACGTTTACTTCAGCATATAACAGCATGATTATGCCACTGCAGAGTTATGTTTCCTCCTTTCCTCTTCTAGTAACAGCACAGCTACACCCAGTCCTGGAAAGAAACCACCTCTTTCCCCTCACACCAGCCTACCAGCCTTTGCGCTGCTCTGTGGCAGACAGGCACGCAGTAATCCAGCAAACCCAGTAAAAGACATCTGCTACTTCATTGCAGTTTTCTTCATGTTTAACAGTTGTGGGTGAACCCAGGGAACAGCCTGTGACACCAAATGAACTCTGCGTTCCACAGGAATGAAGTTCCCGGTTATCCATCCACACAGACCTCCGCAGGCAAAATCCAGCATTAGAGCACGCTGCCAAATGCATTTTATTAGCATCTTTTTCAAGTTCAGTTCCCTTGCAAAGAGTGACTTTTGAGACAATCTACTTCTCTATTCACAAACCAAGTGAATGCATCAGCAAAAAAACATTTTGACATTTAGCCATGAGTATAGAGATGACAATTCTAAGGGTCCATGCAGTTCAAGCCCACTCAGCTGAATGCCTCCTTGTAACAGAAGGAGCAGAATTTTATCTAAGATACAGTAAGACAGTTTTCCCTCTGGATGTCAAACTCCTTGGCATAAACTTCACAGAACCCTTCCCTAAAGGCTGCTAGTCACCACTGAACCATCAAATGCACTCCCAGCTTCCTTTAAGTTTCTGTGAAGCAGCCAATTAAGCTGTAATCTTCACCTCATACTCTCCCCACTCTTGCTGCAGCTCCTGGAGACTGCACTTGTGCTGGCGTCAGCTGAGGGGAAGTCAGCGTTGCCAACTACTCCCTTTTTCAAAGGGCACATCCCTTTTGTAAAGGCAGGGGAAGAGGATAGCTCTGCTTCCTTCTTAAAAAGAGAAAAAATAAAAGCAGTCAGTCACAGCCAGATCCTTCTGTGCTCTTACCAGAGAAGTCTTTGTTTTAAATAACAAATTGATAATACACCGCTACCAGCCACTACACAAAGGGTTAACCAAAAATTACTACCATTTATGAACATTTAAACTACCGCATATGCACCCTTCTGGGCTTCGGCCCATTACTACTGTATATGAAAGCATCAGTCACAGACAGATTTTTATCCTGAACAGGCAAGTGCCATTAGGATCTGAATGCTTTCAGTACTGCAGCTGAGGTTTCTCTGGATGGGAAATCTCGATCCATAAGGCATGGCAGGGAAATACTGTGCTCCAACCAGGTCAGCAATATCTCAACCCTAAATAGGCAAGACCCCAGTGAGAAGACTTACTTCTCAGATGTAAGCTGCAACAAGATCAAGGTCCTGTCACAGATATTTACATATATTTAACTGCCCCAGAAATTACTAGGAACTGAAGCTTCTTTAAATTTCTAAGCATAAGTGACTTGCCATGGCCACAAGATTAGTTTTCCTTTTTTCCACTAAGTGAACATAAGCTGTTAAGGAAGGGCACCTCTATGACATACTGATTAAGAATATGCTAAGTAGCTTTAAAAAAACCACAAGTTACACAAAAATTGCTCAGAAGCTTAAACAAGGCTATCTAAATAGTATAATAATAGCTTCAGAAAGGTTGTACAATATTGTATACATACAAGGACACTCTGCTTTAACAGCCGTAGGAAGTTCTGGATATACTGGAGGGAATAAGATGGATCACATATAGCTTTTTAGTTCCAGAACTTCTTGTATCAGTGATAGGCTTCCAAACAAGACTTCATGACAAAGGCAGATGGCTCTTCTGAGCAACGAGTCCGGGATTAGGGCATGTACAATCAACTGGAAAGCCAGTTTGTGCTTTGAGCATCCATGAAGACGAGAACAGCTTACTGGAACAAATCAGAGGATCTGAAATAGTTAATTTGCTGTCTTACTGTTTAGGAAAGACCCTCAGCTGCTAGAACTGACTGGTTTTCATCCTCTGGCAAGTTTGACATACCATGCATCAAAGGAAGGAAAGGTCTGTCTTCAGAGTCAGCAAGATCAAGCTTCAGTTCTGTGCCTTGAACCTGTCAAATATTTGATCTTTCTCATGTTTGACTCAGCAAGTGCTTAGGGCACACAGAAAGGAAAAAACCTGAACAGTTCATGCCTTGAAGCTAAACTGTGTTTTCTAAAGGATACTTGTGGTCAAAGCTATACCACAGCCTGAACAGCCAAGCACTTTCCTGTTTTGTCCTGTTCCTTCTTTCAGAATCCGGGCCATCCTAAAAATAAGATAAAAACATATTCCATTATTTCAGACAGGGGGAAAAAACCAAAACAAAACCAAACCACAACAAAAAAACAAATAATACATTCCAGTAATTTGCATTATAATTCCTGTCTAAAAAAGCCAAATTACTTCAATACTGTACTTAGACTGCTGAAGAAAGCTATTTAGGGACATTCTTATACTGAGAATGTAACTTTTCCTAGAAGGATCAGAAATAACTGTGCAGAGACGTAGGCTCTCCTCATTGTCTGAAAGTCACCTTAACAAGCCCTCAGCCACCAAGTTGCCTTGTGTCTAAAAGCTCATCACACAGTTAATGCAGTAATGGAGATAGAAATAAGCACAAAACTGACAAATAAGCCTCACTGATGTCCTGTCCCCATCCCTCTCCCCAAATAAATGAACTGGAATAATCCAGACTGATTCCTATTCATTGCTTGGTTGGCTTCCTTAACTGTAGGTTTATTTGATGTTCTTTCCCTTAGCCTGTTGCTTCCTTGGAAGAACAAGAGAATTTACCGTACCTGATAAACAATTACAAACCTGATTAAATATATCACACTCAAAAGAAACATACCTAACAGGGAATCTATATAAAAATCACAGTTAAGGAAGGTCATGAAAATTTCATAAGTGCTAGGTCAACCTCAGAAGTGCTAAAAGTGTTAAATATAATCCATTTAGTAGCTGTGCTGCAAGCCATTGCAACCAGCTGGTCTGCAGCTGCATTTGTTTTTACTTTTGTTAGTGGGTTTTTTTATTATTATTTATTTGTTTGGGTTTTTTGGTTGGGGTTTTGTTTGGGTTTTTTTTGGCCAGAGGCTAAAGTTAAACACAGGATAACAGATGAAGTGAGAATGCCTTGTATGAATCATCTTCCAAACTACCAGAAAAAGAAGATGAGATTGCCCTGTGTACTTCTGATCTGCAAAAAACCCATGATCCACCAAGAGTTAAAGCTTAGTGCATTTTCACTCCCTCCCCATTCCAAATGATATATTTTCTTTAACTGTGACATGCTGTTAATCTTGGCTGGGTGAAAGAAAAAGGAATCCAAAGGGAACTGACTAATGGAGTCCATTAGGAATGCAACACACAGCAAAAGAGGGAAACAAATGGGTAAGTGCTTTATGTTTACATGGGAAATAAGCAAACAAGTTGTTTCCACCCAATGAGAACAGAATATCCACACTGTGTTTCCTGTTAAAGCAACTCCTCAAATTTGGACAAGCTCACTTTGAACTGGCCAAAGCCACCTTACCACGATACCACTTCCTAACCTTGGTTTTATGCAATAACTATGCCTTTCATTGTAGAAAGTGTTTTGAGGCTTGGCCTTCTGGTTGCTTCCAGACAGCTAAAGTTCACCCTTTTTGGTACCCAAACCCACCATTTCAGAATCTATTTTGTGTGCTGAACACAGGCTTCTACAAAAAACACAGAGAGGCCTAATGCATTTTCTGCAACGAGAGAGATGCTTCCTCAGCAAGTAACTCTTATCTGTACAACCTGTGACAACAACAAAAAAAAAGGCAAGGCAGGAGAAAACACTAATCTCAAATCCAGCAAGTATCGCATGCATGTATCTGTGACCAGCCTGAACACCAGCATCGTACAACCTGAGGTTTACAAAGCACAGTTCATGCACTTGCATCCTCTGCATCCTCTGGGTCTGAAGTCATCTGTCTTCCCTGCCATTTGACTTCCTCCAGCAGGTTCCTACATAAGCCATCAGTTGTGCTACTGAACAATAAGTGTCAAGCAGGACTCTGGGAGAGTGTAAACTAAGGTCTGGACAGAGGAAAATCCCAGTGAAACCTCAGGAAATGTTGATTCATGGGTTTTTTTTTTCCCCAGACCTTTTACTCCTCCTGTGAATTCACACAGTTTATAGATGAAGAAACCTGAAATTTCTGCTCTGAACATTATTTCAATAGCCTTGTTTGCCAATAGCATATTGCATGGAAAAAAACTAAACTCTTGGGTTGATCCTGATGCATAGAAAGCTGCACTAAAGATTCACAGCAACAGTTTCCTGAAGATAAATGGCAATTTTCTAGTGCTTCTTTTGCCTTATACAGGTGATAGGTAGCACAGTTAAGGTGCAGCTGTCGTGTGGTACGGTAAGTAGGAGCTGAAATCAGATTAGCAAACTTTAATTCTAAGCAAGTCCAAGGCCCAAAATTTGGCATCAGTTATTGAACAGAAGCCAAGAGGACTGTCTCTAAGTCAGCCCCGGGGGAGGACTCTATGCTGTAGCATGTTAGCATGTTCCCATGGGTGAGGGAAGTGTATTAGTAGATTTGGTAAGGTTTTTGATGCCTTATATATGTATGTACACACAAACATTGGAATGCTGTAGCATTACACCCAACACAACAGGATGTTTTTTGGTGGGCATTACTTGAATATAATAAAGTAAAATGCATTACTGACTTGCCAGCTAAGAGAGAAAAGTTTTATCCATGCACACAGCTTCTGCATTTCTTTATCGTTTTAGTTATAAAATAAGATCAGCCTAATAGAGAAATTATGTAATTACTTACTCCTTGTAAGACTTGAAAGCTGTCATTAGTAGGTGGAGGATCCTGATCTGGGTCAACCCCAACCCTACAGAAACATCAGGAAAACAAAGCAAGTGGTGTTACTGAGGGTTGCAAATGCTGTAAGTTCGGCAGAATGCATTTTAAAAGCACTTCAAGCACCCAGCAAAGCTGCATTCAGAGAGGTTGTAAGAATAGTTGGAGAAAGAGCTGTCCATTATTCCCCTGCAATTACATAGCTATAGACAAGATTCTTTTCACTCAAGCAACCTGTGGATAACAATTTTAACTCCATCTCAGCATCAACTTTAACTGCTTACCTTTGTTGCCAATTCTTTTGGGACACTGGAAAATATTATTTTTGGCTTAAAAAGGTGAACTGTCTGTGGGTGACATCTGCTTCAGTGGAGAACATCCCTCATGTCCAGCAGCAAGAAACCAAAGACTAAGGATAAGCCCAACCTAAATATTTGACACAGCAAAGAACTTAGCTACCAGATAGGCCTGAGAATGGCTAAAAAAAAATATTTAAAAAGTCACACACACCCCAAGTTTTAATATACTGTGTGAAGCAACACAGAACTTTATTATAAAGACTCAAAATGTTAATTTGCTGCAAGTTTCATTCAGCTGAACACAACACAGCCACAGGAGATTAACAAGACATCTGGCTAGTCCAGACTCCCACCTGAGTGAGGAAGGTTCTGTATAATGAGATGGGAGATAATTACAGAATAACATGTTCATAAGAAACTGTCTACTCGCTTTTGCATAGTTACCAAGCATCTTATTACTGAACCATCCTTTCACATAGGGCTCCTATCCAAGATAGGTATTTAATCCATGTATTTAAGTTCAGGTTTTTCTGGTCTGTTTTGGGGGTAGCTATTTGTTAAGATTAGATGTGCCTAACTTTAAATCCTATTCATGCCTTAATCTCTGTGCTCTCTTACAGAGCCTAGACCTCCAGTGTTAGGCAAGACTGTCAGTCTCAAACGTATTGTGTTTCAGTCCTACCACCTTGCATAATAAGTGTAGGAAAATGCATGCAATAACAAAAACATACTGTCTGAAATGGCCAAATTCTTCATTCTCCCTCTTGTGGAAGGGACTGAGCTGGTTTAGTGTCATTTCTTTGTTACTTAGACTTTGTGTCAGCTATTTCTAGGCATGGTGTTTAAGCAACATCCCTGAAGATCACCAGAAACCAACAGAACCTTGCTGGTAAGACCATATCATTTGTGTGTCCCAGGGCCACGTGCTTGCATAAGGCAAGCAGCAATCCAGACATTATTTACCTTCAGGCACAGAAGATGTCATGGATTAAAATAAAAATGAACACCTTCAAATAACTTCCAGGGCAGCACTTCCTAATAGAAAAACAGAAAACGAAAAGTAGGCATTGAACTAAAGTTTTAAGTCATCCTCGTGGACTCAAGGCCAATGCCAGGCCTCGAATGACAATGTAGTTGAGGGAAAATTCAGCAGGCTGCTCTAAGATGGTCTGCAGCAGCCTCATATAGAGCTGGTGCTAAACCAGTCCTTTGCTTGGATTTTCCCCCCCTCCCCAAGTCTCTCTTCTTTCCTCATCACTTCATTACACCACATACAGAGTCATCTTAACCCTCAGGCACATTCGGCCTGGGAATTCATTGGCACTGATAAGCCTCGAGACTAAAAAGCTTCACCAGTTTAAGGGAACACTGGACAAACAGGTTGAGTACTGGATTGTAACATATGAGCTCTGAAAGGTTGCAAAGGCTTAAATGTTACTACTTAGGCTATCACTAAGCAGCAAAATACATGATAAGAAGGGTTTTCTGCAGACAAATGAGTTACCTAATGAAGCCTCACACAGAAAGCTGAAAAGCTACGTCAGTAAACTCACTCAGTATGGCAATATGAAGAAGATTGCACATTCCTTTATAAATACACAAAAATAAAAGCAAAAGATATGTGGCTTTCCAAACTCCAGCTGCACATTGGGGAGGTTCACCACACTGCACACAGCAACCACACTCAAGTCAGCCGTGCAACCCGCAATATGAACAGGGAGTTCAAGGAGCTCATTCCAGAAGATGAACATAGCTTGCATTCCCTAAATAGCTTTGGGCTACCCACTCACTTCACAGTACATAAGAAAGCCCAAACAATTCAGAACATCTCAGCTTTTACTTGACTCACAAGGTCGTGCATTTGTTTTGAGGATTTTAACTGCCCTTAGGCAGAGGAAGGGAGCTTAGTGGAGGACCAAAGCAGGATGGCCATGCTGTTCAGTGAAAAGCCATAGTACATCACAGGCCAGATGTTTGGGTTCACTGCTGTGCTAAGGAGGAAAAGAGAGCTTTTCTATATTAAAATGGTTCAACTTTTAGAAAAAGAATTCTTACTACAGATGTTTATTTCAAAATTTAAATAGTACAGACACAGACTTGTCCATTGGTTTTTTTCAAAGTTATTTTTCAGATGAATTTGTATTTTTAATATTTCTAATTAATTATTTTCGATAAATGACTTAAGTTCATGTTTACAATGTGTTTCTCAGTTCACAGATTAACATAAATACACTATCTTGAATTCTCATGACTACTTTTTGTATCTGTCAACCAGCATACTGTGTCTCATCCTCTACTCTAGCATGAATTTTATAGAAAGCTTTGTGTTTTTGTAGAATTCTGTTTAAGTTTCAAGGTATATACATCCAGGTCTCATGACAACCATCACTTTTTGCAGGCCCTGCCCCCTAATTTCTAAGAAAGTCTCATCCTTATCACTTGAAACAAAACAATACAAACAAAACCAGTCACATCTCTCCCAACCTCTTTTACAGTGAAGAGAAGCACGGAAAACATTTAGTTGCTTCATCCTTACTTAACTACTTCCATACTTAAAAGTACGAGTAAAGCTGATGCAAGTACATCTTCAACATTCTTTTCCCTGGTGGTTAAAGGAAAAAAAAATAATTAAAAAATAATCAATCTCACATCCTTAAGTACCTTTCAAAAGCTTCCCATAATTTAAACATGCTGTAAATGTATCAGTTCTCTTTTATTTAACCAGTTTTTAAACTGAGAAAAATTGCTGCTAGCAAAAACCCCCTAGCAAAAAGGTGAGTGAGCGAGCAAGCTCTGGTTGAAAACAGTGTTTTGCTGGAGAGGCACAGACCGTGTGGTAAGGACTGAGGGGCACCATCAACTGCAGGGCAGCCAAGGCCAGGGCAGTGTAGATGCCAGTAAGCATCTTTGCTCTCCTCTCCACCTTTTCTGAAAGCCCAGTGCAGCAGTTGTGTGTGGATTCCCCAAGGGTGTACTGTAGCAATTCAAATAAGTAACTCTCAAAAGCTGATGTCATATGAAGACTGTGAGCAGTCTTTCAGCTGTAACAATGCATCTATATCCCAAAACTGGTAAAAAAATCCACTTCTTTCCCCCACTGGCATCACTTCAGTATTAGACACCTTAATATTTCAGTGCAGACAGTAACTAGCACAAGAAGTTCAGCCATCTTTCTTTCTGCCTTGGGAAGTACACTGGAATCTGTAGACAAGAGTATTCTACAGTACAAATCCAAGTTACATATATTTCTTCACTTCTCCCTAGTTAAATATTATCATTATTATTATTATTATTATTATTATTATTAATGCATAAAAGGCTTTTCACGCTTTAAGAACTCTGTAATAGCAAAGGGACTACCATAGAGCTCCTAATGTCCAATACCAAAGCACTGCCTTTTTCCTCTTAACCGACTCCTGACCTTCTTGTTCCTTATTCTATAGCTCAACTCAAACTCCAGCATCACATGTAGGAAAGCAGTTACTCAGACTTGATCCCTCAAACATTAAGCCCTATGTCTAATTTAAGCAGTGTGGTAGAAAATGGTTGACACACAAAATGTGGAACACAAAGTGGAAATTGAGTGTATGGGAAGGAATGGTGAAAAAGCAGACAGAACTGCTTCAAGTTCTCCACTATGTCATTTTAAAGTGGGTGGAACCATTTCTTCTAATACTTCAAAAACCTTTCCAAGGCCCTGCAACACACAGATGACAAGTTATCAAAATGCCAGGCTTTATTACATTCTAGCATATGTAATTACGAGTGGCAACAGCCAAGACTGACTAACAGATAATAGTCCTCAAATTCTCTGTACAAGCTAACGTACTGCATTTCTGGCAAATGTAGTAGTTGGCTGGGAACCTTCAAGCATGACAGGATACATGAAAAACTTACCATTGCCCCATCCCAAAGAGGTTTTTTTAATATAAATATTCAGTATATATTAATACATACATACACACACATGCATACAAATGCACACTCTCCTATAGCTACCAGTTACAGATATTTTTTCTTCTTTTCTTTTCTTTCTCTATCCATGTATCGGTTCTAGAAACCCTCAACTGGAGAAGGCTAGGATTCTGGTTCATCTCAAGTCTTATTATTATCTTCCTATAAAGAAAAATGATAACCCTCAGATTTTAAAATACATCTCCAAAGAGATGAGGTTAAATCATCTATGAAGTCCCTTCCAACTTGAACAGTATGAAAAAAACGCCCAAACCTCAAGGAATACTTAACACCTGTGTGATTAGGGATCATATGATCACATCCATGATTTATCAGCTTTGAAGTCTACCCAGGCCAGAAACACTACTTTTGCTTCATCAATTACACATACACAAGAGATAAAGGATGTGGTTTTGGTGGGTTTTTTTGAAATGAAAGACATGATGTGTGATCCACACTCTCCCAGCTCAGAAGAAGAGAACAGATTCAGAATTGAGGAACATCTACAGCACTCTGCAGAAAAGGAGAAGCAGCAGCAGCATGCCATAGTATAGAAAAAGAGCACACAGTGTTATAAAGATGAAGAACGCCAAGCACCAGGTTAATTCGGTATAAAGGAAAGCACAGTGTCACCTGAAATACAGCCAGCGGCTTTCACTCATCTCTTCCACCGATGGAACATGGTCACCAACTCTGGTACAGTACAAGAACGCAATGTGAGTAACAAAACGCTCATGAGATGGTAGCTTTACAGAGCTCCTTAGCAGAACAAAAATAAAACAACAGAAACCCCTGCCCAGTCAAAAAAGACAACGCACACAAGAATAAGAGTGGTAGAACAATGACAAAATTAATAAATGAACAACAGCAGCACTTTATGATTGAGATATCCAGCAATATTTTTCATTCCTTCAGATTCAGACCAACAAAACACCTGTATTCATGACAGGCTACCTCCCCCAGAAAACAAGATTCAATAGCTCTCAAGAGAGCTGCTACACAGAGACAGAGCCCATCTATGACAATTCCTACCACTTCAGATCGGCACATGGTCTAAAAGAGAAAGAGTCCTTAGAGTCATGACAGAGGCCATCAACACTGCAGTCCAATACAACTGGCAATATGTGCTAAGTTACTCAGTCAGTTTAGCTAACAACTAACTAACAATCTTTAACATACTAAATCTCCAGTCGTAGCAGAGTGTGCTTTTACTCCTTACTTTGCCTTTTCCAACTGTACTTAAAAAAAAGAAAAACACAAGTGAAAGCATGTTTGGTTTCTAGTAATTTCGACTTAAATTCCTTAGCAGCTTGTGGGTTTCCCCCCCCCCCATTTTTCCAGGGAGGCATGCTACAGGAACTACATACTGCTTATGTGAAATAAAAGCCCAGATTATCAGAAATCCACAGAGGCCTCAGTTTACAAAGAGCAGGTGTACACATCCTGATTGCAGACTCACATCTTGATGAACCAAATATTTACGGCCATAGCTTGTGCTACAAAGTGCGTGCACTCATCTAATTCTCAAAGGCCAAAGCAAATACCAGAATTTGGACAGTTCTGTTTGATTCCTGGTTCAATAGCTCTTCTCTCATACCAACATACACTCCAGGTCAGAGCACTCTGCTCCAAAAGGCAAACACTGAGACAGCTCCGCATACGCAGGAAAAACTAAAATAAAAACTGTCCAATAACTTCCCTTCTATGACTTCTCTCTCTTTGCTGTATCTTTGCCAAGTTAATATACTGAAGTTTTCCCAGATGTCTATAATGAGCGTGCAGCATTTTTGGAAAATTTTAGCTATTTTGGAAGAGTTCAACTGTTTCTCAGAAGATGGTTAAGAAAGAAGACGATTCCTACTGCCATGTTTTTAAAAAAGGTAAAAATAACTAAAAAAAACCCAGTATTAGGAAGTTGTTTCAGGTTGCTTTTAGGATACCTTTTGATATTCTTTTATGTGACCTGGCCAAGATGATGACTCCTGAAACTGCCTGCTGAGGTTTGCTAGAGCTTGGCAGTTAAACCCATATCACTCACGTACTCTAGATGTATCTCAACCCAGCTCCTACAGAGAGACTAGGCCTTCCCCACTCTTTTTCTCTCTGGTGTGAATAGCTATGTTTCAAAGGACAAAACCAGAGATAAGGAAGTATCTCCTATGCTTACTTCCAGACACCCAAAAGAGGAGGTAATCTCTTTCCTACCAAGGTAAAGACCCAGAGGGGTGAGGCTGGAGTTTCAGAGGTTGCACTGCACCTCCATTAAGAGAGGAGAAAACAGTGCAGAAAGATACGGTAAAAGGAAAAAGCCCACAACAGAGAGCAAGGGGCAATGTCTGTGTCTGTGCATTTGCCCTTCAAGGACAGCAGAGAGTGGGTAGAAGGCAGTGAAGAATTCAAGTGGTAGAATAAGGGAAACAAGCTGCAAAACAGAAGGATGTGACCTCTTATCAGACATCCCCAACTCCAGCCCCAAACATAACACAAGGCTGGATCTCAGCATCAGCACTCACTTCCTGTCATTGCAGTGCACTCAGGCGTGGTATTTAAGAAATGCACATTTTATTGCTGGACCACCCTGGGCAAGATATAGAGTACAACCTGAGACTGCCACCAAGTTGCCAGTTTTACCACCATCCCAGATAGGTAGGTTGTTTACATAGCTGCTATGTGAGAGGTTGCCAGATTTCTTTTTGAGTTTGCTCATTTAAAGAAGGAAGAAAAAAATCACTAGATAAAATGCTCTTAAAAAGATTTTATTTGCTAACTTAAGGCAGTAAATATCTAAGTTGACATTGTCTGTGCAACCTTTACCTTTTCTGGTAGTAAGTTATTTAACATTTTAAATTGAAAGATACAATGCTAACATTTAAAGATTTTGAAAAATGCTGCTAAGTATAACTGAAATGACTTCATTAAAATAAACACAAACTTCCTCATTTGAAGCCATTTATGGAGGAGAAGAAGGCATTAATCTACATGTTGCTTCATTCAACACGAAAAGAACCAGGTCAATAAACTCTCATGAAAAATGGACAAAATGCTATTTTGCAATAGAAATGCTAGGAGTTCCCTTTTTTCCTGTGACAGACAAATGAAATGTTAACTCAGCTACTTTTAAGAAAAGAGGAACTTTGCCAGCGGTTTTGATTTACAGGGCTCTCAAATTTGCTGAAACTGTTAAAACTTCAGGGAGGAAACTGTTTCTTTGTCTTAGTCTCAAAAAAACCAACTATGTTATTAATATCCAAGTCATACTTCAGTTTCTAAGAAAAAAAATAATCTATTGCTAGAAAAGCATAACTGTTTACCACGCACATGCTTGAATGCATCTCTCTGATAGACAGTCATTCAAACACATGACATCATGGCTTGAACTCCAGTTTCTGGTGTTAATTTTAACTTCCTTGGCATCAAGCGGCAGAAACCAAAAGCATCTAAAGATCCCATTATGTTTTACTCGTATTTTTCTGCCATGACCTCACTTTCCCAACCAGTTAAACAGAAAACTAAAGTTAAGTCTCTGGTACAAACCATAGGTCCTCTGCTTAGCTGTACATTTAAGCCTGATCTGTACTGTGGTACACCAGTAACATGCCCTGGCTGGAAAGATATCTGCTCTTCTGATTGAGACATTCAGAAGAAAGCAAGGGAAAGCAGAAGGGTTTTTGCTTCTTTTCTTCCTTATACTTCTTTTTACCTTACCAAAACTTAGTTTTCATGTTAGCCTCTCCCTTCTTGATCTGCCTTTAATATATATCACATCATGGGAGAGAAAGGAACACTAGGAGTAAAGGATGCATCCTAATTGCCATGCCAGAGTCATGTGCCTCTGCCTCTGGGCCACAGCAAAGCAATTCTGGACCCCTGCACACACACATCTGCCTCGCCACAAACAGAGCGGTATCAAGCCAGTCTTAAACTCTTGGCTAGAGTCAGCTCTCTGGTACTGTTCTATTTAAATTGTGCAGGCAAAACCTTAAGTAAAATCCCTTGGTGGTGTTGTCACCTGTCTTAGCTTTTCTGACCTGCTCAGTACAACAGACATGCACCTGCAGTTCCTAAGCTTAGCCCACAGGAACTGTCAGATGGGCCACCCAGAAACCCCACTGATGGCCAGACCAGTACCCACAGGAATACAGTAATGCTGCTCTGCTATGCAATGACCAGGCAAGCTAAACCAGACCAAAAGGTCAGTCAGCTTGGTTGACTCTTTGTTAAAGCAGGTCTTTGTCATCTCCTCACCTCCACACTGCAACAAGACTAGCTCCTTCATGAGGTCTTTGTAATGACTGACTGGCTTTGTCTTTCCTTCCATGAAGGCTAAAGTCAACAGGACACAACTGTTGTGAACTTTCATATGAGAGCTGGCCTTTTAGGCACAAATCCTGACATTTAACTCCAACACACAAGAGGCATTAGCTTATGTCCCTTCATTCACTTAATCTAGAAAGCAAGCTACCTTCTATCTTTTAACCTCTTTTCTGCAAAACAATCCTGTATGGGAGCATGACTTATCTGCAGCCTCTTGCAATCAAACCTAATAGGCAAGTGCCAGGACTCAGAAAGCATCCCAGGCCACCCGAGGGACAAGATCTCTGCAGCACAGCCTCAGGACTGCATCACCAAGGCTCTGGGACAGCATCTCATCTTCACCTCCTCCTGCCTACCTCTTCCACTGGGTAGAAAGGGTTGGAAAAGAGAAAAGCAGCATATTTCAGAAATTCAGCTGGAAAACAATTTGTCCCTTTCTTAAAGCTGTAAGGTCAGACAGGACTTCTTGCTTTCCAGCAGAACAAGGCTCTGTCACAACAGAGGGTTCTTTCCCAGCACCAAAGTTTCTAATTCTCCATCAGCTGCACATGGCTGCCACCTCCTGGCACAAATCTGATATAATGCAGTCTAAAGAAGTGCAGACCAGTATTAATAGAGTAGTGCCTATCAAAGCACCTGTATGCAGACATGTACAGTTCTCTAAAATACTTCCTATGTAGAGTTCCCTCTTTTACATGATATCTTACCCTTAAAAGGGAAGTTAATTTATTTTCCATGAACCACGCCAAAAAAATTACAATTAAAAATTGCTGCTTACTAGCAAGGGTGGGTAAATCTCAAAAACCCCTACCTACAATTAAACACTCAAAACTAGGGTTGAGTCAACTGTATTTTGGCAGCTACTCCTTTAGGAATGATACAATTGCCTTTCCAGTTGTTCTGCCTTGTTGGCCACATTAATGATTTTTGCAAGTCTAGTCTACCCGAAGGGCAAGCCTGGCATAGATACGGTGTTAGCCCTTTCTCCCTTCAGGGTCAACTCATCAGCCAGGCTCATGGAGTCTCATTACTGAACTAGATTAGTCCTTCTAAAGGAGTAAGTGCATCTGCTTGGAAGCTTCCACAAGCTGCTTCCCAGGCTCAATGGGTGATTTGCGAGGTTGGGGGGGGCAGCCAGTTTCTAGTTGACCAGGAGCTGGGCCACACACTGTAATTCAGTCCTGTCCTGCTAACCACTGAAGGAGTGCAGTGGCAGAAGCAAGGGTTGACTACATTCACAAGCTGCCTTCTGATACAGGCAGACTGAACACAATTCCTCTTTGCTTAGTTGTTCAACAGTGCATCCTGTCCCTTCCTGGATGACAAGGTTTGAAGGAAATAACCAACCATGTCCCCTCAACAAAAAAAGGTGTAGGCTCTAGGGCAGAAGGCTCAGGATGCCAACACCTATGAGAGAGCTCTTAGAGTCAGTTTTGTTGACCTGGTTGCAGCCACACTTCAGAAGATGTTTTGAAATCCACTCAAGTGGAGGGCAGACAAGGAATATCCTCACAGCCATGGTAAAGGCTGCAAGCAGATCTTGGTAGGCTTTGCTCAGCCATTGGGAGCAGATTGCAAGAAGTGTTCTTACCTGCGAGCTGCTGGCCAGAACTCACCTCCTGCTTCCTTGTTCCCCACACCTTGGACAGTCTATGTACACTGCTAGTTATGCAGACACTGAGCCTGCTCTGTTGCTGAAGTGTATTAGTACAGTTGTCCGTTTTATATCTTACATATATACGTGTGTGTGTGTGTGTGTATATAAAAATCAGACAAATCCACTTCTGTTGTCAGAGGTGTGAAATGGAAAACTGCCCGTGGTACCTATTCCAGGTATCTGGTTAAAGGCATTATACAGCTCTCACATAGAAACCAGTCAGGCTGGGCTTTAGGCTGAATCCCAGCAGCATCTTGTACCTTTTCTTCACCAGCCTGCAGTAGCACCTTCCTCTGTAAAACAATGTTCTAAATACCTAGAACACTTCCAGCAAGCATCAAACAAGTTCTGTAGGCCTATTCCAGATTAGCATGGTTGCCACTTGAAAAGTGACATTTCTGCAGCATACAGTTGTGTACTGACCTGATGTTCAGCCATGACAGCATGGGAGTTGTACCTCCACCGACAATCCACACGGTGAAAAAGACAATGAGGAGGGTTGTTGAGAACATCATTTGATGCGAGTAGGTAGCAGTATCTCGTATAGCCAGAGCAAATGCCATGGCTCCCCTGAGACCTACATGGAAGAGTGAAACAGCAGAGCTTCAGAAGTGCAACTACATCTACTCATAACACAGCATCTTTCCTTGCTCCTTCCCTGCCACATAGGCACAAATTGACAGGCAAAAAGCACTGGGTTCTGGTGAGTTTTAATTCCCTCAGTTTCCCTGCTAAATTATGCCCTGGGATGATTTAGAACATAACTTGCCCTTGTAGTTTTCTGTAACTTAGAGAATCCTTCTTTAGTAGGGGAGTCACAGATGACAGAATGGTTGAGGTTGGAAGGGACCTCTGGAGGACAGAATGGTCCAACTCCCCTGCTCAAGCAACCTCACCTTGAGTAGGTTGCCCGGGACCACGTCCAGACAGCTTTAGAATATTTCCAAGGGTGGAGATGTCACAACCTCTTTGGGCAACCTGTGCCAGCACTTAGGCACATTAAAAAGTATTCCCTGATGTTCAGAGGGAACCTCCTGTGTTTCAGTTTGCACCCATTGCCTCCTCTAGTCCTGTCACTGGGCACCACTGGAAATAGCCTGGCTCCAACTTCTTTACACCCTCTTGTGTACAGAGGCATCCCTCGCACTTCTTAAGGATGCACGTGTTTAGACACATGCACACACACTATGATTTGCTTTAAATGACAAACTTAAAGTTATCTGTGTGACAGAAAACGTAACAAGTTTAAGTCAAATACCTTGCTTTCTCCACCTAAGCGTGAGAGGGCACCCATAAACATGCCTCGATTTTCTCAGTAGATATCTATCTGTTTCTGCACAAAATGTACATAATCTCAGCTAGAAATAACCTTCTGGGAGAAATACACCCCAATTCCCTCATCCCTTTCAGATGTACTTCAAGTGAAAATACTCTACTCCCAACATGAGGTGACTGCTTGCTACCAGCAGTTGGCATTTCAAGATGTCCCTCTTTGCAGACACAATACTTTCTGTAAAGGTTTCTGTAAAGGTTCAAAGATACATGATGGCATGCTGCAACAACCATGAAGTTTTCTATTCAGGATGCGTGAATGTGGATTATAAAAGCAGTAGGTAGTACTACAAGTTGCTTATGAGTTAAAAATAAGACTTTTTGCTTTACCAAATATTTTTACTTTTACCTGAAAACATCATCATGTGCTGGAAGTTCCAGCTGATCTTATGCCTTCTGCCCAGATTCAACAAGAAGGAGAGAGGGTAGATGTGTGCAGCTCTGCCCAAAAAGATTGCAATCTGTTCACAGCTGAGGGTTAAGGATTTCACTTTACTGAGGTGTGCATTCCTGGGTACCTGGCTCTAACATGAAGTTTCTGTTTTAGTGAGAGATTTACATCATGATATCAAGTGTTCTTGTTAACCCTGTTTACACAGACAGAAATTAATCTATTATGTTCATACAGAACTCAATACACAGAATGCAAATTTTAAACAATATAATCATGTTTTTAATGCACAGTGAAATTATGTCTAGTATTAAATTTACAAGCTGTACAAATGAAGACTTTACTTTTAAAAAATCAAACTTTAAACGACTATCACCACCACCATTTGATTCCATGTTTCAGACCAACAGAAATGCAGTTCTAGATACAGAAGGAAAACCAACATAAGACCAGAAAGTGGCCACTCCATTACAGCTCCTGCAGAGTCAAAATCTCCTACTGGCTCACAAGCACTTAAGAGTACAGAGTTACTAAGATGATAAATCAAAAAAACACTTATCAGCACTAGAATGAAGTTAAAAGAGTAATAAAAGAGTATTGCAGAAATTAATGACACTATGTGGCAAGCTCCTTCCCACCCTTACTGTGGTGTAAAACATCCAGTGGTTCCAGTGAAGCAGCAGAAAGCTGAATCCTCCCTCCACCATCTAAGGAACACTTTGGGACAGAGTGTTTGGGACACACACTAGAGTGGTGTGCTCAAATCCTATGAAATGGCTACACAACCAGAAGCCCACCAAACACTGATCGTTTGCTGCTGGGATAACAAAATTAGGAGAATGAAACAGCTCTCCCATGGTTTTATTTCTTTTCCATGAGAGAGCTCTAGACACCACTGGGTTGTGGCCATAGCTGAAGTAAAGTAATACTCTCTGCAGGAAATTATGTCTCTAAGAAAATGAGATTTTGATTATTACTTTGCACAAAAAGCTTCATGTAATTATTCCAAACAACTTTTATAGCAGTTATTTTGAGGACTGCAGAAATCAGACATCATAACCCATGACAGGAAGAATGGCTAGGATTTTATCAGTGATGCTGAGGCTTTAGCTCTGCCTTTGCAGTCCAACCTCTCTCAACAGCGAATGTTGCTGCTATGTTTCACTCTCACAAGGTTTTAGCTCAACGGGGATAGCAGCTGTTGAGGCAGAATCTGGGTGCTAGTACTAGCTGCCCTCCTCACAAAGGTAGAAAAACATTCAAGAGGCAAGAGGGGTTAAGTGCAATGGTAGAAAAAGATGTGAAAAATGTAATAGAAGGTAGGTAGGTAGGAAAGGGAACAAAATAAATACTGAAAACAAATCCAAGACAAATAGTGTAACCTGAGAAGGGATAGAAGGCCACAGCAAAGGTGAAAAATTACAGTGCTTAGTATGCCAGATGCAACTCTTCTGTTGATGTCTTTATCCAATGGCTGCAGGGCTCTGGAGCATTTTTTAGGTCAAAGAATGGACATGAGGAGACAGAAGAAAAATGGTTACTGTTTGAGAAGAAAGTAAATGGCTAAAGGAAAATAAAGATGAATGTAGAGAGATAAGAGAACACAATGGAAAGAAGGAAAGAAAATAAATACATTTGGGATTAGGCCATCTTTATATGTCCTTTCACTGAGTTTTGTCTCATTGCTGATAGCCCTACTCCAACAGGCAGAGAGAAATCAAGACTGGAAGACTAGCTCCCATGGCTTCATGCACATTTTTAATTGCTCTGAATTTTCAAGCAGCCAAGAATATAGTGGAAAAAATAGGCACATAAGCTATTTCAACAGGGGCAAGATGCAGAGAGAAATCCAGTGATTCCTAGCTTATGACTTCTAGCAGTTGCTCAGGTGCAGAGCCAGCATTGTGTGGCACAGAGGCCTTAGGAATTTGATGCAAGGGGTAACCAAAGTTGTTCTCAAAATCCTTGTGCCTGCAAGGATGAGGGAAACTCAGGTCAGCTGCTATCCTCTACTTGGCACACCAAATAGACACCACAGGTTTTCAGGCACACAAAACAGAGAAACCTCACACAATGTGAAAAAGGATACAAAAGCTCCAATGATGAAAATTGGGCTGAATATGTGTTTCTGGAAAGTAAACAGTGCCAAACCCATATAAGAAAATATGAAGTTCTCAGCCAGGAAGTGCAATACCTCAAAGAGCTAGGGAGAAAACAGTCACACGTTAATAGCCAAGCAATAAAGCTGCATTCCAAAAACGAAAGCACACAGAATACTACAGCAATACAGCATACAAAAGGTGAAAGATAACTTTACCTGCTTAGTGCGACTTCTTGATTCAACTGACAAATTATTGTATGTATAATGCGCCTGGGTAATCCCACAGAAGAGGACAGCCACCACACCTGTGAACAGAATCACATGTAAAAATCAGCCTGTTGACTGTGTGAGCTCACACTTACCCTTCTCAAGCCCGATTAAATTTATACATTATCCTTAACATTGAGATTTTTTTATAAACCTTATTTTCAACAGTTAGATTTCAGGTTGGAATCAGGTGGGAGCTGACTGCATGAACCAAACCAGTGCTTTTAAAAGTCACACAGTGAGCTGCACTTCCAGTGGCATTGTATAAAATGTAAAAAAACTTAAAGCACCAACATCTTGTTTCTCATCAGAAGGTTTCAATAAGAAAGTGGAAGAAGGGCTGCTAAGACAGACAGGACCTCTGTCTCCATGTGCTTGAATCCCAACAACTCACCAGTAAATCCACAAGCTTCTGCAAGCAAGAAAGTGCTCCAGGACATCAAGAAGAAGAGAGCCGTTTCCAGCAGAGGGAAGCAGTGCAACTTGGTAAACTTCGTCACGTTAAGTCATTTGTTAAGGGACCAACAAAATAAACCCACAGGTCCTTTGGCTTCTCTGTACCGACTATTTATGAAAAATGCACTAACAACCAATGCTAGTCCAAGAACAAAATGCTTTTAGTCCGGAAAAACATCAATTCCATCATATCAAGACAAACTTCAGAATCAAGGGCTTTCCTTGCAATAGTCACCAGTTTTCGATTTTTTTTTCTGCATATCCATGGCATAACTGTGGCTCCACCTCTTTGAGGTAATGTCTTACTCTGTGCCATGCTTCTCTGCAAAGTACCAGCAGGGAAAGGAAATACACCTGGCATTTACTTTTAGATTGTGTGTCTCGGTTTTTCAGTGGGTTTGTTTGTTTGAGTTTACTCCCTTCCCCATAAAGATTCCCCCCAACATCTAAATAAAGGATAAAAATCCATTCAGAAGTATTTAATTCACAAGGCTTTTCTTGACTACAGCAACCTTAAGATGAAGTAGATTTAGCAGAATTTTTCTGCTCAGATTGTCAACAAGTCTTTTTCAGCAAGTGTGGCTACTTCTGCATTTTTGAGGCAAAATAGAAATCTTGCCTACAACAAAATGTATTTCCTCTCCTTGCGTTGATGTGTTTTAGAGTAAAAGACAACTCAATCAGAGCAGCTCAGTCTTTCAATGGAGAAAAAAAAAAGTGTTCATCTTTCAGATATGAACTTTTCTTTTTTCCTTACCACTACGCTGGCAGCAGGGAGACACAGAGCAGCCCACTGTACCTGAGGTGCAGACAGCTGTGTGCAACGCTACTAGAAGACACAGAAAGAAACCATGTGCTAACAGAGGTGGTAGAAAGATCCCTGGTCTTTCTGAAAGCTGACAACCAGCACTGCTTACTCTGAAATCCAAGTGGGAAGACAGCAAGAGCACAGCAAGGCCACCTGGAACAGTAGGGTGGTAGCACTCTCCCCTGCTCCCGTGAAGGTAATCAGTACCTCAACAGATACATCAAGACTACACTATCATCCACCATTGCTCTCCATGCATAACACAGCTGCATCATGGGTTCTCTGCAGCACTACATAATCTAAAGCTAATGGCAGCACTGCTGCCTGGGGAAGCGTAGCTCATTATGGGTTAGAGATGTTAAAAGCAATGAGAAGCACCACTTTTCACAAGGAAATCACAGGCCCTGGTAGGTCTGGGGTTCACAGCACTCTTGATTGCCTCCTGCAAGCAGCAGTCAGGTAGCCCAGAATACTCAGTGGAGGCAGTCTCCTGTGGGCAGTTATGACAGAATACAGCCTTCACAACCAGCCCCCAAGTGATTGACACCAGAGGCAAACAGCTGGCAGTGCTTCACTGGGAGCCTGGTTGGGATGAAGCAATCCTGAGGGTGGCCACTCGCTCCCTGCCCATGCCTACTTCTTGTTGGCATCCTCTGCTAACTCAGAGGAGGGTAAGGGCTCTGAAGAACATACTCCTGTCATACCTTCAGCTGCAACCCTGCTTGTCAGAAGGCTGCACTCTAAACAAAGCCCAAACCATAATTAAATGTATATATGTATCTCCATGACAGTTAATATTACACCAAATATAAAACTCAGCTTTTTTTTTTAAACAGCTGTTATTCTCCACACAATCACTTTTCCATATAAACCATATATCAGACTTTCAAGGATGAGCTAGATTACACTGAGCTAGATTACTTTTCACCCTCCTAAACAGACCCATTTTGTAACATTGTGCTTCTGAAGCATCCACCAGAGTAGCA